TTGTTTCTTGGTCTTGCCTTGGAGTTTAACTGTGTACACACCTGACACCTGGAACTGATGTCCTGGACCATAGAGGTCAGTCCTGGGATTGAAAACTTAGAGCTCATTAGTCTTTTTAACTTTGATTCTCCCAGGTGACTTAAGTGATGTAACTGATGAACAAGTTGTCGCCCCAGGGCTTGGGGGAGACAGATTCATTCCTTTGTCCCTTTCCACCAGCCTGAGTCCAATTTTGTACCCCTTCACTTTTGATTTTCCTCTTTCTCTTCCAGGGTATATGTGGGCTTTTCTGACAAGTAGCCAAAGGGCTGGAAAGGCAGAATGTCTATTGGCCCCACTGGTTCTTTGGCCACTCTTTGGGCCTCATCATCGGTCTCTCGATTACCACGGGCTTCAAAGCTGTCTCTTTTTTTGGTGGCTTTTGTAATGAATAATGGCCAATGCCCTGGGTTTCCAAATTGCCTCCAATTAGGCCAAACTTTTTTTTATATAGTTTTCCCTTCTGATGTCAATAGCCCTCTCTGTGTGTAGATGTCACCATGTACATGGGCAGTGGCGAATGCATACCAGCTGTCAGTGTAGATGCTTACAGCCTTGTTTTGATCTAACAGAGCTTGAGTTAAGGCTATTAGTTCAGCCCTCTGCATTGAAGTCTTTTGGCTTAATGCCTGTGTCCAGTGTACCTGTTTTTCTGGACTGACTATGGCTGCTCCCACATACCTGACTCAGTCTTCCATGAACTGTTTCCATCGGTGAAGAAGGTCTCATCTGGGCTTTGCAGGGCAACATCAGTCAGATCTGGGCTGTTGGCGGTGGAAGTTGTCAGAGTGTCCAGACAGTTATGGAGGTGCATATGTATGAGTTGGAGTCCAGGAGCAAGGTGGCCAGATTGAAGGTTGTTTCTCAGGTGAATTTGATGCATGGAGCATCCAGCAACAGGGCCTGGTACTGAGTCAGGCAGGCATTGGAGAGCCATCATTCTGGGGCTCCTCTCAGCAATGTTTCCACTGCATGGGGTGTGGTAATGACCAGGTCCCATCCCAGGCTGAGCTTATCTGCCACCTTGACCAGGAAGGTGGTGGCTGCAACTGCCCTCAAACAGGTAGACCATCCACTTGCCACAGGATCAAGTCTTTTAGACAGTAGGCCACAGGTCCGTTTCAAGGCCCTAATGCCTGAGCTAGCACTCTTTTGGCTATGTCCCCTCGTTCAGCCACAGACAACCAAAAGGGCTTGGTGACATCAGGTAGGGCCAAGGCTGGTGCTGACACTAAGGCTTTCTTTAAAGCCAAAAAGGCAGCTTTCTCTTTTTCTGTGCAGAGGGACTGTCTCTTGTGTCTGGAGTGCAGCAATAGTGACTTTCCCCACTTTCTTGGCTAGGACTTCCTCAGGGGGGAGGGGCATCATGGTTATCATAAACTTTCTGGGCTATGCTCAGGAGTTCAGTCTTATTCTTTCCCTTGAATCCCTCTAATTTCTGTAACTTTTTTTAATGCCTGGGGCCAACTGGGAAACAAAGGCCAGATTTAAAGCTGCTGCATTTTTGGGTGCCCCTGGGTCAATAGGAGTGAAAACTCTATAGGCTTCCAAGAGTCTCTCCAAAAATGCAGCCGGAGACTCTATTTTTCCCTGGCAAACCTCATTTACCTTACTCAAATTAGTGGGCTTTCTGGCCACTGCCCAGAGTCCCCTTAATAAGTGCTGGTGGTAGGTCCCCAGCCTCCTCTTACCATCATCATCATTGGGGTCCCATTCAGGATGTTGCGATGGAACTACTGTTTCAGCCTTGGCTGAATGCCCTGGAGTTCCGGGAGTGAGGCCAGGGTTTGGCCCCAGGGCCTCTTTGACTGCCTGTTGATAAATGCAGTCCTGCTCCTCAGTGGTGAACAGGATCTGTAAAAGCTGCTGGCAATCATCCCAGATTGGCTGATGGGTATGAAAAACAGACTCAAGAAGAGATTAATGTCTGAGGTTTTTTAGAGAAGGGGGATTTTGATGTTTCCAATTGTAAAGA